AAAAAAAAAAAAAAAAAAAAGAGTGATACTTAGGATCCTGGGGAACAGCTGTTACCTCCCTAATGTATGATTTCAAGGTGATATCTTTTCATTTTGAAAAAGGTTTCACAGCTTCTGCCAGAGCGATTTGCAGAGCAGCTGATTCGAGTATACTGTAAAAAGACAGATGAAAAGAGTTTGTATGCTGCACAACAACATTTTGTTCAGTGGTGCATAAATAAAAACTACACCAAGCCACAGGTAGGTGGCCTATTATTCACATGCTTTGTACAATGTTTTATTTTTAAGTAAAAGCCAAAAGGAAACCTTTCTACCTGCTAAAAAGTTCTCACTCAGCGCCTATGGCTCAAGCAGCTAAGGCACCAGCCATACACATGTGAGCTGGTGAGTTCAAATCCAGCCCGGGCCTGCCTAACAACAATGACAGCTGCAACCAAAAAATAGCAAGGCGTTGTGGCAGGTACCAATAGTCCCAGCTACTTGGGAGGCTGAGGTAAGAGAATTGCTTACGCCCAATAGTTTGAGGTTGCTGTGAGCTGTGATGCTACAGCACTCTACCCAGGGTGACAGCTTGAGGCTCTGTCTCAATCAATCAATCAATCAATCAATAAAAATTAACAGCTCACCCCTGTAATCCTAGCACGCTGGGAGGCTGAGGCAGGTAAATGCCTGAGCTCAGGAATTTAAGACCAGCCTGAGCTAGAGCAAGACCCTATCTCTAAAAATAGCTGGGCATTGTGGCAGGCACCTGTAGTCCCAGCTACTTGGGAGACTGAGGCAAGAGGATCATTTGTGCCCAAGTATTTGAGGTTGCTGTAAGCTATGATGCCATGGCACTCTACTGAGGGCAACAGAGTGAGACTCTGTCTCAAAAAAAATTATCATATGGTAATGGTTTTGAAAATAAAGTCTTATTTTAAAATATGCAAATCTGTATCAACCAGTGATTTCTTCTACCACAAGTAGGGAATGGATACTTTATCCTTACTGTCCTAATAATAAAAGATAAAAAAATGGTGAGTTGTGAATAGTGCTTTATAATACTCTCACCACTTTTCTCTTGCAATATTCCCAGGGACCCTGGGAGATGAGTCACAGTGTCCCCATCTTTTAGGGGTTACCAAAGCTGAGTAGTTAACTTGTTTAACATACAGTTGATAATAAGTTTTCTAACTTAACTATTTCAAGCTCTGTGTTTCCAAACCTGGTTACTTTGGTATGTTAAAAAAACTATTTAAATTCTCTAGAATGAGCATGGAGGGGGAAAAGAGCCAAGCCACAGTCTCCAACCCTATAGAGCAGCAGTTCTCAACCTGTAGGTCGCGATCCCTTTTTTCCATTTGTAACAACACAGCACTTAGGAAGGCAGAGAACCACTGCTCTAAGGAATGTTGTTAAAATTGTCTCTTATTAACTCACACGAGGTCAGTGCCTGGCAGATTGTTTGTTAGCTGAGTGAATGAATGTAATTGGCTTGCAGATAGGAAATAGCACTCTACTGCCTAGTCTAGAACTCTCCCTCACAACACCATAGCTGCCTTTTTTGCCTATCAGGTGTTGAAGGGAACAAAGTGAAGGGTCAGACATGAAAGGGTATCTCAGGAAGTTGGTGTTTTATCAAGTGCCAGAAGGCATGATGCTGATTAAATTCTTGGGATTCAGAGACTTGGGAGGGCTTAGGAGAAGCCTGTGGAGGAGGGAGGGTCCAGGAGGTGGACTTGTGTTTAGATGAATAGCAGGGAGAATGAGGGGCGTGTTTGGCTATGGGAGCACCAGAAACCAAGGCATGAAACTGAAACAAGTTTAGGGGGCCATGAGGAGACCTGTCTGATCAGAGCAGAAAAATCTCATTATTGAGTGATGAGAGGTTAAATGGAAGAGTAGAATAGATTAGGTAGAAGCTTGCCTGAGGAAGATTTTTCCCTATGTACAGTGAGGAGGGAATCATTGAGAGTATCCAAGACTCACTGTACTACTATGATGATTTACCTATGGATTTGTTATCTCCAACTAGAGTGAGAACCACAGGAATAAGGAAGCTGTCCTATTCCACAGGTGTCCCTTGGCATCTGTGGGGGATTGGTCCCAGATCCCAGTGGGACCAATTGTTTGGCAGACACAAAACTCCACAGGTGCTCAAGTCTTTTATATGAAATGGTGTCGACTTTGCATTTAACATATGCAGATCCTCCTGTATACTTTAATCATCTCTAGGTTACTTATAATACCAAATATAATGAAAATGCTTCATAAATAGTTGTGATATCATATTACTTAGGGAATATGAAAAGAAAAAAAGTCAGCTGGCACCGTGTCTCATGCCTGTAATTCTGGCACTCTGGGAGGCCTAGGCAGGTAGATTGCCCGAGCTCATAGGTTTGAGAACAGCCTGAAGAGAGCAAGACCATGTCTCTAAAAATAGCTGGGCATTGTGGCAGGCGCAGGTAGTCCCAGCTACTTGGGAGGCTGAGGCAGGAGAATTGCTTGAGCCTGGGAGTTTGAGGTTGCTGTGAGCTGTGATGCCATGGCACTCTATGGAGGACAACAAAGTGAGACTCTGTCTCAAAACAAAAAGAAAAGAAAAGGCACCTGTGGCTCAAGGAGTAGGGCGCCAGCCCCATATACCAGAGGTGGTGGGTTTAAACCCAGCCCTGGCCAAAAACTGCAAAAAAAAAAAAAAAAATCCCCAAAACAAAACAAAAAAAAGAAAAGAAAAAAGTCTGTATATGTTCAGTACAAACATAATTATCCTTTTTCTTTTCTTTTTTGTGGTTTTTTTGTTTGTTTGTTTTTGTAGTTTTGGGCTGGGGCCGGGTTTGAACCCACCACCTCTGGTATATGGGGCCAGCGCCCTACTCCTTTGAGCCACTGGT